AAACAAAACAGGAGCCATTTTTGCCCTTCAGCCTTCATCATCCCCAATGTGCACTGAGTTCTTAATGTGCTTAATGTCTGGACATTAAATTCAGGATGACACAGAATAAATATTTGTATGTCCTGATGTGATTATATGCACTGATGGCTGATCTGATTAAAATAATTTGTTACTAACCTAGTGGTAATGAAACATGTTTAACTGACACACACTAATGTCTGCAGTAGTTTTTGTACACATAGGCCCACATTTTCAAAAGAAGTATCTAAATTTGCACCTGCTGTTTTTCTCTTCACAACTATTTTTGTGTACACAGAATCCTGCCTCGGTTTGCGCAAATCAAGCAGATGTTATACCATTCAAATAGCACACACAAAAGCAGATTTTTGCATACACAAAATGTAGTATGTGCGAAACTGTAGTTAAAAGTTGAGAGGCTATTTTTAAAATATGATCTGCATTGTATTGTTTAAGCACTGAAGGTAATGTTCTTCAGTTTAAATTCTGATCTTCAGTAGGTTCATTTTAAGAAGCAGAAAAAGCCTGAGAAATGACACCACTGAGATATTTTAAAAGTCCATTAGTACATCAATTAATCAACTTTCTGTCAGAAACGTATAAGATTATATGTAAAAAGACAGACATCGTGAAAAAGTCCTGGTTGTCATCGCTGGCCATTTTCTATAATAAAATCAATTAGTTTATTAATGTAATTGTCAAGCACAGTTGATTAGTAAGATCATTTAACATAAAATACTCTCTCTAGATCATTTAAAAAATATCTGCAAATGTTATTTAAACATGCTCCAGGCTCCCATCCGCTTATCACAAAATGAAAAAAAGGGAGTGACCCATTCTTTGCTGAATGTTGAAGTATTTCAGCTAGTTCCCTGGTGATTTTAAATTTTTCATAAAAGGGGTATTACACAAGAGGTCAAAAAAGGAGAGAAGTAATGTGTGAAATCTAAGTTTCAAGAGTTCAAAGCCAACAGAGAGGATTTTCAAAGGAATTTCCATTGAAAAACAATGCATTGCATTATTCTTCTAGAAATAGTTGCTAGGGTTACACTGGTTTTATTGCTGTTTTCTGGATCATTTCACTTAGGAATACCGTGGAGCCAGGATGATTCTCAAGCAAATTGGACATAAATTGGGAGGGACACCAAAAACAGTGCTGGGCAATGACCTCCACCTATAATTTAGACCTGGTGTGTGTCTGATTCACCTGTAAATTACAATCCATTTCCTTCCTGAAAAGACCAGACCAGAGAAAGAAGATCTAGCACATCATCTTAATAAATGAAAAAACAAATGGCACTTTGTGTTTGTTTCTGCGTTGTAGCGATGTAGTCCAAGTGTAATTTAATTTTTGTTTTATTGATAACAGGATCCTAGTTATTGCTGTGTAAAAGTATAAGAACATCCCATCAGTTCTAATGTTCATGAACAGGCACTTTCAGTTTCTGTTTCATGTCTGTAAATGGACTTTGGGTGGTCCTTGTTACAAGCATATGTACACTAGAAATGTCACAATCTTCCTGTAGCACTTCATCTTGACATGCAACTGTACCTAAAAGACTAAATTCCCTGGAATCAGCAAAGAGTTGACCATCTGTTTTAGATATGCAATCTTTCATTTAAAATGCATTTTAGTAGGGGAAGATAAACACAACAAATAAATTAAATGAGAGTCTGTTGCTACTGTATCTTTCGTGCATTTTAGTGACTAGAAAAAAAGCACCAATGCAGTTGTTCTTGTTTTTTGTTTGTTTTTTACCTTGTTCAAACTAAGGCATTTTGAGTTTTGACTTTTTCAGCTTCCAAGCACTCAAAATGGCTTCATTGCATCTAACACCATTGGCAATAAACCAAGACAAATGGCCACTCCATTTTTGCACAGACTGAACATGCTCTGACAAAGTGTAACAATTTAGTTCCTATATTTTAACTGTGTTTAAGTTTTACAAGGCATATCTGAGCAGGTTTTAATTTTATTTTTTGTGATGAAAACTAAAAAGTTTTTTTTAAACATACTTCATTTAAACTATTTACAACCTGTGTAAAATTGTAAGTTTGAAAATACTTTTCGACTATCACATATATTACAGAATATTTAAACTGTTACAAGTACAGTAAAATACCTTCATTCTATTATTTTTAAAGATGCAGTATCCTTATAGTTAGGTTTCATACTAAAAACTGAATTGCTACTGAAATTGATTAGGATATAACATATTTAAAAGTATCAATGGGCATGACTTGCTAAGCATACATTGCACAGTTACTGTTACTCTGTAATGAAACTGTGAAAATATAGCAGTTTTGAAATTTCTTTATGTACATCTTCAGTTATAAAACACAGGCAAAGGCATAATACAGTAATACAAGCTGGTTTCTTAATAAGGTGAAGGTATTTTCTTTTACAGTACTAAATATTTCCAATTCTTCATCTGGTTTTGAAATCATGGTTAAATCTTTGTTCCTGATTATGTATGTGATGAGGTATGTGAACATGTGAGTGTTTGTATGCAGGTGTGGATGTGTGTGTGTGTATTGGGGCAGGGAGGACATGTCGAATGGTCTCTATTTTTGTATGCTGTAGAAGATGCACTTTACCTCACTGACCTCTTAAAAAAAAAGATTTTAATGGTGGTAAACTCATTTAATGGTGGTAAACTCATCCACCTTCTATAAAGCAGAAAGAGAATTTTTCCATTAAAGAACATTTATGATCAGAAGATACATTTATCAATGACAACCTGGGGTACTTTTTCTATGCAGTTAATGGAAAATGAGTCGTGTAGTTATTATTATTCCATTATTATTTCTGGGGTGTTGCCCAGCCATTTGTCCATTCTCTGCATAGTAAATTTACCCCAAATATCGATAGTGCTGATGGCATTTTTAACACTGTTAATTTCATTATACACTATTTCAGCTAACAATTTCACATGCACCTTAGTTTAAACCTATTTTACTTTTAATGGTGCTAAGTATAAAAAAGTGGAGAATAAGGAATACTGCATCTTCATCTCCTTTATAAACTGCCATTGCAATGAGCTGATTTCAAAGTGCTGGATCATATGGGTGTTTAAAAAAAGTAATGAAAATTTAAAGTTTAAAAAATCCTGTATCAAAGAGAATACTTGTTCAATATGTTTTCAGATACTATTGATGACTGGGCTTCACTATCCAGACCAAAAGCAGCCTTTTAAAATCACTTGGAGCGTAGCACTTTGTAGCATAGGTGCACATGCAAGCTGTAATGCATACAGTGTACTTCCTGTCTACCATTTATTCACACTGAGGAGGATAAAAATTTGCTCTTATTGCAAGAATGGGATGGTTCACATTTGTGTTTTACAATTGCATATGTACAGATCTAGTGTGTTGTGTAAAGATGACACCAGATATTCCTGCATGCTGTTTATGTTGTAAGCCATTCAAGTTGCAAATCTGCAACAGAACTTGGCATTTTAGAGGAAATTATAATAGGGAATATCAGACTTTGCATAAATGCAAAAGATTGGAGGTAGTTCTGAACCAAAACCCTTGGTCTAAGAACACCATTGGAGTCAGACGAAGTTCAGATCTGGATCTGAACATTGTGGGTTGCCAACCTTCTCTCTTCAAAGATAACTTCTCTTAAATCATTTCAGACCAAGAACAGAAGCATTAAAAATGGTCTCACTGAACATATTGGCCCAAATTTCTATGCACTCAAATACACATGTGAAGCTCACCATTAATTTCAACGAGTGCCTACAAACCCCAAAGGCAGACATAGCAGATTGGAGAGGTTATCTGGATAGAATAGCAACATGAAAGCTCTTTCACACACAGATGTTTTATCTTAAACTTCCTAACTGGAGAATGCGTCAAGAGGGATTGTCTGAAAACTCCAGTATTTGATACTTCTGCCTCTGGACCTGTTTCTGATGTCCCTTACACTAGAGGGTGTAACTCCACTGATTTTAATGGCTTTACCCATTTCACATTGGTCTAATCCAGAGTACAACCAGACCCTTTCTGTTATCTACTGCAGTGTTTTTAATATGTAAATGAATAGACAACCAGATGAGAGAAATGATGACATCCCTTACTGCTGTTCCTGCAAACTATGCAAACTGGCTTATCAATCTCCTTCTGGCAAATAAACTTTGTTTTCTAAAGATGAACTAGCTCCAAAAAATAAAAAAATAAAAAATATATATATAAAAAGAAGAGACACCACATTATTTGCTGAAGGGAATTTTTTGTGCACCAGTAAAGATCAGCCAAAAGTAAATTCTGGTTCCTTATGTTTAATTACTGCTACTTGAGTAATTGCTGATTGTGCATTAAAGGAAATTTCATACATTGACATCTGCTTGAACCCTTTTTCTGTTTTTAGAAGGACTGGTACGTTTAAAAGGACATTGAAGTTAATACAGGTGGGTCCGAAATGCAGGGCCGGCTCTAGGAACCAGCGCAGCAAGCAGGTGCTTGGGGCAGCCAATGGAAAGGGGCAGCACGTCTGGCTGTTTGGGGGCAATTCGGCAGCGGGTCCCTCTGTCCCTCTCGGAGGGAAGGACCTGCCGCCGAATTGCCGCCGAAGAATGAAATGGCGGCGGTAGAGCCAAAGTGCCTCCGATCGCAGCTTTTGTTATTTATTTATTTTTCCCCACTGCTTGGGGCGACAAAAACGCTGGAGCCAGCCCTGCCAAAATGTAACCTACAGACAATACTAATCATATCTCACATACACTGAACAAACAATCCTTTATATGAGGGATGCAACACTAGTAGTAAAATCTCATCTGCATAGTCAGGAGACCCCATGACAACCCACCCACCTATAGTGTGCTCTTGGTTTGTTTCAGTCACAGCTCATTACACTGTCCCGTTCACTCTCCAGTGGGGTCTCCAGTGCTGGTTATGAGAAGGCTAGATATCGAAATGTTTCTTTTGGATT